ATTAATCCTTTATCAATTTAAAAAAATATATATATTAAGAAATTTTATATTTTTTATAATAAAGTTTATTCACTTTTTTTAATAATATTATCATTTAAAAACTTAATCTTCTTTTATTTGTTTTTTTTAAAAAAAAATAAATTTTTTATATTTTTGCAAGTAAATAAAAAAAATTTTATTTATAAAGTCAAAAATAAGATTAATTTGTTAAAAAAAAAACATTAAAAAAATAAATATTTAAATTTTTAAATTTTTTTATTTTTCTTATATTCTTTCTTTATCTTTTAAATATTTAATTTTTGAGAAAATTTTTATAATAAATTTTATCTATCTTAGTTTAATCTTAAATTTTTGATTATATTAAATAATAATTAGTTAAAAATTTAAATTAATTAATTATTATATAACAAGAAATATCAAGATGTTTTTTTATTAAATTTATATTAAAAAAAAAAAAAAAAAACTTAAAGAAAGAAATTTAACTGATATTAAAATAATTATTTTTCTTTAACTAAAATATTAATAATATTAGATTTGAAAGGTATCATTATAAAAACAAATATACAATATATAATAGAATTAAATTCAAAAAATGGTTGCTTTCAAAAAGTAAGCACATGATAGAAAATTTGCTAATTCTAATATATGACAGCATTTTTCTTCTACTGTATGTCACGCGTACCGCGGCCATTGTTCATCCCTTGCATTATACGATATTAATTATTTTTGGTTAAGAAACCTGGGTATGTTAATTTACGTGTAAGCAAAAAAGTCTCCGATTGGCTAATTAATTGGGTCGACATGATATAAATTCTGGCGACTTTCTGTAAATGGATATGTCGTAGTTTCAACTCTTTACTTCACTTCAATAAGACGCATATAAAGTTTACAAATTTACGAGAATGTCAGATTTCAGCGATAACATTTCCAGCGGCTCAAAACATAATCAGGATGACATTGTTCATGTCACAGACAATGAGCAAGACTCTAACCTCCCGTCCTCTAATATTAACTCACCTTCCGCCTCCATATCTTCCATAATATCCAAACATGCAAGGCAACTACAAATAGACACAGGTTTCACTCTCCATCAGGTTGACGATGCTTGGATAAGACAAACCGATACACCGTTTCCTTCACCACCTTTCAT